ACTTCGACAGTTTTGACTATTTCTCAAATTACAACGATTTTCTGAATCTGCAATAATTTAGCGACGATGTGAAAAAGTCTGTAATCACTACCTTTTCACGTCTTTCTAGGTGTTTTGAATTAACCTATGAGAACATTCAACTATTATACAATCTTTTTTGCTTTCTTCTTCTTCTTCCCTTTCTCTTCAGATATATCCTTAAAAATGCCAAGAAAGAGAAAGATTAAGGTCAGGGAAACACATACAGTCGGCCGCCCACGCTTAGAATACGACCTGAAGCAGTTATACCTGGAAATGCTGAATTATCGTTTAAATAATAAAATGTCGTACAGTGAAGTGTGTCAATGTCCTTTATATCGTTCATTCAATATAACGAAAGGAGCATTATCGAAATTCTTTATAAGATATAACAAAGACGTTGAAAACGTGAGTAAAGGTGATTTACAAATTACACTCTTTATATTAACTAACGATGCTTTTCTTTTTCGTTCTAGTATTTGAAAGAAGTACAACAACAAGCAGTGGAGGCAGCAGAAGAAAGTGAGTTTTCAGTTCAACGAGGACCAGACGATGTTGAATTAATGAGTGAACCTAAATTAAAAGAAGAAATTGATGTTAGTGATTTGGAATCTCATGAACATTTTGATCAACAGCAACAGGAAGAGGGAACGACGGCAGAAACAACAGCAAACGTATTAGATCATTCACTAAACTCAATTGAATTCAGCGAATATGAATTACCGCTTGATTTGTCTAATATCGTTCACACTGAACTAGTTGAGACGTCAGAATTACCAGAACTAGCACCACTCAGCAGCAACGATTTCTTACCTTTTGTTCGTGATGTTGATACAATTCTATATCGTTTAGTAAGTGTTTTCGATTCCAAATCAGTCAAACCTTGAAAAGAAGTGAATCTAGATTGTCACTCGTTGCTAAATTCTGTCAATAAACCATTTGAGTAAAAGTAATAAACTTAGCTTTTTAGTTGTCGCTGAATTTTGTTTCTCACACTAAACGTATTTTTGGTTAAATAACTCGACTCCTGTTCGTCGCTAAATTAACGTTAGTTATCTTTTCTCTTTTGAAGATGTATGACTCTCGAACAGCTGAATTTTTGTTATTTTTCTACTTTTTAACACTCTCTCTGTAAATTTCAGGCTTCTGGTTTCAAAGTGGAAATGTGTACTGTTGAAAGTCCAAATTTAGTTATTCTCTGTTGGAAACCAATGTGGGTTTTCTCTAGCGATTTTAAAGATGATGATGGTCAACTATTTGCTCGACCAAAAAGTGATGCTTTGTATTATCCAATTGAAAGTGTTCTTGATAGTATGCTACCACAAATAGTATTTCAAGACGATACATCTCATTTTCTCTTTGTCCAATGGAAAGATACACAGATTGATCGTAATGAATTGAATACATCAGAAAAAATTGAATTCGATGTTACTTTAGTAGGAAGATATTTAGTAGAAACAATCGCCGAAGAAGAAGGACAAAAATAATTATGTTTGTTACAGTGTTTTTTGTGATACAATAGAACTTTTTTTGTGGATATAGTATCTGTAATTATCTTCTTTGCTTATTTTTGATACGACAAAAAAAGTGAACTTGCAAAAGATTATTTAAACGTTCACTATAAAACTAAGAGTATGTTGAAGATTCGACGACTCCTTGTGGCAGTTTATTTGACTATCAAGAATTGAAAGCTTTTCCACTCTCTTTCTTATAGATCTTAAATGGCTACTAGATTCTCAAATTCTGTTTCATTAAAAGCTGCTGAAAAAGGAACCAATTATTCCATAACACTTGTCTGTTGTACATCGTACAACGATAAAGAAAATACAGGTGGAATTTCAATTCAATGTCTTGAAAACACTCAGTTATCAACTTGTATGACTGTATCGGATGAAACATTACAATCAGCAAGTTTACAAGTAGGTTTTGAGAAAAATGATAATTTAGCGACCATGAAAATCTTCTATTTTTTGAAATTCAGTGTGTTAGACAAGCTTTCATACTGGCCAGAAAAGCAGGTGCTACTTCAGTTCGCATTGCTATCGATTCTGATTATATTTACAATGGTAAGCATGTAAATCTCGTTTTCCAAAGCAGATATAATTTGTATTCTTTTCATGTATAGTTTATACAAAATCGCTTGAAAATTGGAAAAAATGTAATTATATATTATCATCAGGCAAAAAGGTGGCAAATCTGGATCTTATTCTTGATATTGATCAAAAGTGTTCAGATATTCAAACACAATTTGTAAGTGGTTTTCACAGATTTCGACCTTTCTTCACTGCCGTATTTTTTTCTCATTTAGCAATTATTAAAACAAAACGATGTTTACATAATAACAGGAAAACGCTTGGCAAAATCTGTATACACTCATTAAATAAGAAAAGAACAACAGAAACACTACTTCTATGACCACCACCAGCACCATCAACAATGATTATAAAAAAGTTCGTTTTTCCTTTTATCCGTGTCATAGAGTTATTGTTAGAACTTTTTGTAGTTCTGTAAATTCTCAAATTAAAAAATACTAGTGCAATATTAAAAATAAATTATGTTACTCCTTTCCTTTTTTTAGTGTCGAAGATTTAAAGTGCGTATGGACGACTCGTAATAAGCGAACGTTCATTAATGTTAGATAGCACACAGTGTGCGAAAAGTCTTTAAAAAAAGTTGTAGCTGTGCCCGCGACATAAATTGAGAAAGTTTTCTGAGATCTGCCATTGAATTTGACAAAAAATAATTTAGCGACGGCTTTTTCTCACTGAATTAATTTAGCGACGCTTAAAAAAAAGAACTGTTTGAGTTTAGGAACCAAGTTTTTCAGTCGTTTCTGATTTACTCCGTCTTCCTTTTATATGTTATAGATGGACTACACAACGATGATAAAAGACAGAGAAAGACGAGAGCGTGGGCAACCGTACGTGCCTTCATCGTCTAGTAGCAGTAGTTCTGAAGAGTGGAACTACGATGTTTTTGATCAAGAAAATGATGATGTCGAATCTAATCAAAATTATCTACCAGATAACAATGAACCTAACATCGATCGTCCACCATCAGATCTCCTAGTATACCAAAAT